GGTGATGATAATTGAAAAAAATAAAATCCAAGGGAAAGAAAAGGGAAGGAGGAAGGAAAAAGAGGAGAGGGTGGAGGAAGAGGAGATCGTTTCCAGCTCTCTTCCTCGTGGCGTGACGCGGCGAAAAAAACAGCGAATTTAACACTTCAAAAATAAAAAAAACAGCGAATTTAACACTTAAAAAGAAAGAAAACATAGAAAAGAACAAACAAGCCAAAAAAGAAGCAAGGGAAAAAAGCACACACGAAAATAACACTACAAAACCCTCACTCGTTTTCCCTGCTTCCCTTTTTTTTTTTTTCTCTTTGATTTTTTTTTTGCTTTTTTAATATCCGTTTTCCCTTTTTTATCATCCATCTTCCCTTTTTTTTCCCTTTTTTTTTTGCCTTTTTAACTATCCGTCTTCCCTTTTTTTTCCCCTTTTTTTTTGCCTTTTTAATTATATCCGTCTTCCCTTTTTTCCCCACTATTTAATCATCCGTCTTCCCTTTCCCCTCCCCCCTCTCATCCTTTTCTTTTTCTTTTTCACCCACTGATTTTTTTTTTTTTTTTACTTTGGAAACAAACGATATGGGGTCATTTCCTCCCTTTGAATTTAAATGCAACAAAAAACACAAAAAACCCTTAAAAACCCTAAAATTCAGGGCCCCCCAAACTAAAACACAAAAAACAAATATTATGAAAAACACAGAAAAACCCTAACCAGAGAAAAACACTTATTCGAGTTTAAAATAATCATGATTTCAACGAAGCGCTTAACTCTTTTTTTTTTTTTTTTTTTTTCCCCCAACTAAGCTTTGTTCTTCTCTCTCTCAATTTCACCTTTCACTATCTACCTGCCCGTACTTTTTCATTTTTGCAAAAGAAGCCCCCCTTTCTTTTATTAGGGCCCTGTGCCCACTGCAAACATACAATTTGTTGAAAAGGAAGGGCTCCAAATCCAAATTCAGTCCTTCGGGACATCCGTTAAAATTGGAACGATACAGAGAAAGAAGATTAGCATGGCCCCTGCGCAAGGATGACACGCATAAATCGAGAAATGGTCCATAAAAAAAGAAAAAGAAAAAAAGAAAAAAAAAAATCCAAATTCAGAGGCCGCAAGGTCTCTAATCCTCCTTCATGAATCCGCCAAAAGACGGGCAACAGTGACTTTTTTTTTTTTTTTTTTAATTTTTAAAGGGCGATGGCTTGAGGTATTATCATCGGACTCTGCTAGTTAAAATACAAAAAAGGAATAAAAAATACACGACGTACACTACAGCACAACCATATAAACCACACAAAAAAGAAAAAAAAAAGAAATGAAAAATCCACCCGATATGACAGTGACTTTTGTTCTGCTAGTCAAAATATGAAAAAGAAATGACAAATACAGGACGTACCCTAAAGTACCCTAAAGCACAAATATATGAACCACACAAAAAAGGGAGAAAAAAAAAGAAATGAAAAATCCACCCGATATGACAGGTTCTCAGTCGGTTTCTCCTCCTTTTTATTTTATTTTTTTCTCCGTCGGTTTCTTCTCCTTCTCGCCCCTCCGCACTCCTCACTTCTCCGTCTTCCTCACTCTTCCTTCCTCCTCCCACTTCCTCTCTCCCCCACCTCCATCCTCGTCCTCCGTCGTCCTCCTCTTTCCTCCTCCCTCCTCCAGCCTCCCTCCTCTTTTCTCCTCCCTCCTCCCTCCTTCCCTCCCTCCTCATCCTCCGTCCTCCTCACTCCCTCCTCCTCATCCTCCGTCCTCCTCACTCCCTCCCCTTGCGCTCCTCTCCTTCTCCCTCTCCCTCCTCCCTCTTCCCTCCCCCTCCTCTCTCCTTCTCCCTCCCCCTCCGTCCTCCTCTTGCCTCCTCCCCTTCATCCTCCTCTTTCCTCCTCCCTCCCCTCGCTCCTCCTCCGTCCTCCTCTCTCCCCCTCCTCCTCTTTCCTGCCCCCTCCCTCTGCGTCGTCTCTTAACCCTTGTCGATGATCGAGCTGTTTGTCGGATACGTGTCTTTCCTCCTCCCTCCCCTCGCTCCTCCTCCGTCCTCTCTCCCCCTCCTCCTCTTTCCTGCTCCCTTCCCCTGCGCCCTCCCCCTGCGTCGTCTCTTAACCCTTGTCGATGATCGAGCTGTGTCGGATACGTGTCGGATGGGAGGAGGGGGAGGGAGGAGGGGGAGGGAGGAGGAAAGAGGAGGGGGCAATGAAGAACTAAGAGCGAACATGAGTTCTCTCATGAGGTCACGTGCGTACACGTGTCGGATCCGACACGTGTCGGATCCGACACGTGTCCTCCGATGAGAGCACGCACGAGGCATCTAATGGGAGCACACACGCGTTCTCTGATGGGAGGTGGATCAGGAAGAACTAAGGAACGAAGAGCGGACACGTGTCCTTTGATGAGAGTACTCACGCGTCCTCTGATGACGACAACCACAAACCTAGTACAGAGTCTACAGACACGTGTAAGATGCTACCGTCTTCACCGGAATACAACGTGCAGTCACTATACCTGTGTATGTATTTGGGCCATCTTTGAGTCTAGATACGGACAGCGACAATGACCGTACGTTGTGTTCGAATGAAGACGGCAGAGGATGAGAGCAGCAGGCCACGTCGTTTGCGGATGGTGCACTGGTGTTCAATTCGAGGTTGACTACCAGCGTCCCCCGAATAGAACGTACTGCGATTATTGCTGTCTGTATCTAGACTGCAAGTTGCCCT